GGGACCCGAACTGAAAAGCGATTGGACAGTTGGGGCGGTTCCCTCGTCAGCCTCCAGAACCGTTTTGGTCCATCTTAGGAAGTATAATTTTTTTTACGCAATCAGTACAAACTTTTTTTTCGCTTTTTTACACTTGGTTAGATAGAGCTCGTCGAGCTGAGTAAGAACATATCGGTTTTAATATTTTTTCCAAAGTGCTGAAAGACCCATTTTCTTGAAAAAAATATTAAAAAAACTCATCTTTTAATGTTTTTTTCCAATTTTAGAGAGCTTTTACGTTTCTTCGGACTATAAAAATAATATATTTAGATTTATCGTGAAAAACTGCATCGATCTGACCTCTTTTTGGTCATTCCTTAGTGAAAATATGCTTGTAAAATGTAAGGGATTTAAAAGTGAAAAAAACATTAAAAGATGAGTTTTTCTAATATTTGCTTCAAGAAAATGGATCTTTCACCACTTTGGAAAAAATATAGAAGCTGATATATTCTTACTCACCTCGACGAGCTCTATCTTGCCATGTGAAAAAGCGAAAAAAACTTTTGCTTTAATTTTGCATTGTTTGCACCTTACGCTATCGAATGAGTGAAATATGAAACTGAGAAATCTCTAGAATCTAACTGAAACTCATATTAAATGTGTTTTTATTTGTTTAAAAAGTGCATATGATTTCCACCCAGTAAGGTATATCTCATAGAGTATTCCACTACTAAGAATAATAAGATTTTGTATCAGAAAAATATATTTTTCAAAATCTTGCTAGGGGGGGGGAGTGTCTGAGCGTCCTCCTCCCCTCTCGCTTCGTCAATGATTTCATTTACAATTCAACTTTAACAAAAAAACAAACTCAAAGTTTCATTGAAAACTAATCTTTTCTTTTTTTTCGCCGATAAAAAACAATTTTCTTCTTCTTCTTCTTCTTTTCATCGAAATCTTTTCTTTTCATTCTTTTCTAGAACCAAAATTCAACATATGGAAACAAAATGGCATCACTGTGGCTGGTGGAAATGAAGAAGGACAAGGATTAAATCAACTCAATTACCCTGTTGGAATCTTCATTGATAAAAAGAAAAATATTTTCATTGTTGATGCTGATAATCATCGTATTGTTGAATGGAAATATAATGCGAGAGAAGGACAAATCATTGCAGGTGGAAATACAGGAGGAGATCGAATGGATCAATTGAATGATCCAACAGATGTGATTGTTGATTCACAGAGTCATTCGGTCATCATCGCTGATTATAATAACAGACGAGTGATTCAATGGTTGAATCAAAATCAACAAATTCTGATTGATAATATTTACTGTTTTGGTTTGGCAATGGATAAATATGGATATCTTTATGTTTCTGATTGGGAGAAGAATGAAGTGAGACGATGGAAAATAGGTGAATACAATGATGGAATTGTAGTGGCAGGTGGAAATGGAAAAGGAGATCAACTCAATCAATTCAGTCATCCTCGTTTTATCTTTGTTGATGAAGATCAATCTGTTTATGTATCAGATTATCACAATCATCGCGTGATGAAATGGAGAAAAGATGCAAAAGAAGGAATAGTTGTGGCTGGAGGAAATGGTAAAGGGGGACATCTCAATCAGTTATCTAAACTTGAAGGAGTAATTGTTGATAATTTGGGTCAAATCTATGTGGCAGATCCTGATAATCATCGAGTAATGCGTTGGTGTGAAGGAAAAGAAGAAGGTGAAATGGTTGTTGCTGGTGGAATTCAATTAGCTGGTCCCACTGATTTATCTTTTGATGATGAAGGAAATCTTTATGTTGTTGATTGTTATAATCATCGAGTTGTAAAATTTGAAATAGTTTTGTGAATGAAATTTTGATTTTGAAAGGAAGAAAAAAAAAAGTTTTATGAAATAAATAATCGAGAAATAAAAGAAAAAATAAAGTTTTATTGTTGAAAATCAATGAAACAAATCGAATAGAATTTGAAGAGAAAGGAATGTATTGATAATAAAAGAACATGGAAAAGTCGTTTTACTTATTTTTCCTTTAAAATTGAATTTAATTTGATAGTTTTAATGAAAAAATTCGAAAAAATAAATCTTAAATAGATCATCTTTTGTTGAATTTTGTCAAATTTAAAGAAGAAAATATTTCATAATTTGAATTAAATTTTGTTGAACATGAGAAATGTTGAGGGTAGGTGTGTGGGTGTAGATGTATCCTATTCTCCCACACTCACACGCTCTTCAAAATCTATTTAACATGTTTTTGGAGTCTTTTTCTATAGAGAGGCTATTACCCACAACTACAATGAACATTCTTTCACAAATGAGAGAAAATCAACGATCAAAACGATAAACTTTTATAAATAGTTGGGTGTGGGTCTGAGATCGACTAAAGAAGATACACCTACATCCACACCCTCACCCACACCCACACCTTTCTTTTTCTTTTAGCAAAACATTATACAATATTCATTATTGAAGGTGAGTATGAGTGAGGGTAAACGCAAGATAAGAGAACAAAGACACATATCCACACTCTTCTATATGTTTGAAGTTTCTTAACTCTTGTCATTTGAATATTTGTGAAACTGGTTTGATTTCTTTTTTTTCGTAGATACAAACATTTAAAGTTTCCACTAGTATACTTAAACAAAGCAACAAGCTATTATCTCTGAAACAAAAAAAACAAAGGTTTTTTTCCAAAGTTTAAAACATTCGACGAATGAGGCTATTCCCTTCTTATTCTCACTTTCAATGTAGGTGTGATTGTTTCTTTTCGATTCGCATCCACACCCTCAAAATTTAGAGAATTTTAATATAGGTGATTCCGATGTCGATCCTTAAAATTGATTTTCACGACTCTCGATATGATTCTAAAAACACTTATTACCGGTTGCAAACTTAAAAAAATCTGATTTTCCAATTTCGATGCGATACTGAAAATAAATAAAACTCTTAACGATTCGGATCTGAGTCCAAAAAATCTGATTTATCCATTTCCTTGGGTTGTCTGATCAAACAGACCTGAAATTCGAGTTTTATGCCGTATTGTGTATTTTTTTTCTTGGATGCTTTTTTAACTCCGTTGCAAGCAAGCGCGATTTATTTCATATGAACCTCCCTACAGCCGAGAAAATAACATAATTTTCTAATTGAATTCACATTGATCTACTTCCATTTCATTCAACATAACATCAAAAAAATCTATTTTTATTCCAATTTGAAAAAG